AAGCAGGCAAGGGCAAACCACTTCTGAAATCTTGCCAAGAAAACTGCAGGGACTAGTCCAGCCAGTTACCAGGAGTCAACACTGACTCAAAGGCACAAAACATGCGCGCGCGCGCGCGTGCACACACACACACACACACACACACACACAGGTAGTCCTCTCTTACCAACAGTCATTGGGACTGCGAAGTCCATTGCTAAGGGACACAGTCGTAAAGTGCAACATCACATGACCATGCTGACTTACAACAGCAGTCCCGGCAGTCCCGGTTGTTGTTGTTAGGCGAATCATACCATCATGATTCAGGCGCTTGGCAACTGGCTCGCAATTACAACAGTTGCAGCATTCTGGAGTCACGTTATTGCCATTTGCAACCTCCTGCTGGCTTCCCCATTGACTCTGTTGGAAGCTGGCAGTGAAGGCTGCAAATGGCAATCACATGACCATGGGATGCTGCAACCCTTGTAATTGCAAGCCAGTTGCCAAGCACCCGAATCATGATCACATGACCGTGGGGATGCTGCAACAGCTGCAACTACAAGGACTGGTCGTAAGTACCCCTCATTCAGCACTGTAACTTTGAACAGTCGCTGCACGAGTGCACGTTAAATGAGGACTGTCTGTACTTCAACAAAATACAGCCTTTAAGAAATATCCTTTTATTTATTTGTGGAGAAAAAATATTTTAAAAGAATATACATTTAATATAAAACTTCTAAGTCACGCTGAGATTTTAGTCATCCAGAACATCACCTAGTTCACAATCTAATCCTTCTTCTCCTTCTGTGTATCTATTTCAATAGCTGCTTTTACCTGATCTGTAACACACACACCCGAACTCTGAAAAACGACAAAGCAAATTTCCAAACTAACCATGCCTGTTCACATTTGTCTAATATGGTTCATTTGTTCTGGTGGCAATCACTGATTTATTCCAACAATGCTAGCGGAATTCTAAACCAGGCCAGCAGTGTAACCATTATGAAAGAGATCAAGGAAGAGGATTAAATGCCTTCTTCTTTATACTTACCTTCCCACTGGACCAGCCAGTTATCAGCTCACAGACGCCATCGGAGTTGATATCAAAGGCATGGATGCTCATCGCATGATTTTTAGACTGGGGAGAAAAACGCATCTATGAGTAATAAGCAGGTCATTTCTTGGTACTAACCCTAACCTTTTCCCACATCTAGTGGAAAGATAGTGACATAGGAGCCTGATCAAGAAGATAAACTCAAGATTCAGTCTTGACTCTGACCATGAGTTCAAGAACCTCTCCCTGTAACAGTAACTATTCTACAGAGTTGCAGCAAGAAGGAAAGACCTTGGACACCAGGAAAAATATGAAAAAGTGGCTATTCTTTTCCCTGAATAGATGAAGTTTAAGATGCCTATACCACCTGAGTTGAATCTTCAGCTTGTTTATAGCTACCAGATATATTATCTGTCAAGAGACTAAGAAATTCTCAACAAAGAAAGTAAGTCTAGAACATCATATAGAACAACAAGACTATGGCTGGGGTTTACACAACACACTTAATCAAGTCAGTTAAAGAGCCACAGGGCTACATCTGGATAGCATGCAATGCCTGATTAATTTTAACCTCAAATAGAGTGTTATAGAGCCCAGCATAAAACACATCTGTACTGAACTCGGAAAATGGCTTGATTCGGTAGCCAAATAAAGCACATTGTGCCAATGTAGCCTAGAAGTGGACAGGTGGACATCTCTGCATTGCACATTAGATCAACTGTGCTTGAAGGGTTCAGGAAGAAGCAACCTTCTGGTCTAACCAACATGATGGATGAACTAGATGAACTGAAAGATCCTTTCCAGCTCACACATTTTAGGTCTCTGTGTCTATTTATATCGCCCAATTGGAATTGGGCAGTGTCCAAACTGAATGATGGAGGAGGAGCAGGAGGAGGAAGAGGAGGAGCAGCAGCAGCAGCAGCAGCAGCAGCAGCAGCAGCAGCTCCATTTATGGGAATGCTAAAAAAGGGGAAGATGGCAACTACAACCATGCAATCAAAACCCTATGATGTACATAAAAAGGCAGGAGGGGGTGGGAGACTTCAACTCCATGGTTGTGGGTACCATCTGGACTTTTTGACACCTGCAGACACCCAGTGAAGCCAAATATATATTTCTTGATGCTGGATATCTCAGGCTGTTCTGACATCTTCAATTTAATCATACTAACTTTAATTCTCCAGTAGCGTGCTGCCTGGTTATAAATGCCCACTGTGCCATTGGCAAGCGCATAGCCAAAGTGAGTGGGGCTCATCGGAGTTAGTGCAGTGATGGTCTAGAAAATGAAAAAAGAAAGGTTAACAACTGTTTTCAGACTAAATAATAAACCAAACTACTTCTATGGAATAAAACTGCCTTCAGCTAAATCAGATATTGGCAGTACAGTATTCAAGCCCATTAAGTAGGCCTGGTTTGATAAGTGCCCGATCTCAATAACATTCACCTTGCCAGTATCAACACCTGCATTGAAAAGATCTGGCTGATGCTGTATCCAGCTAGGATGTGGAAGGCTCTGAGATGTTTTATTGTGAAGCTCACCTGGCCTCATTCACAACACTTTACAGGGGCTCCAGATGTCGTGGTCTCCATTCATCATGCACCAATATTTTCCCCGCTGTCTCCTCCCGTTTTTCTTACCATCAAAAATCCATGAAAGGGGGGGAGTGAGAATATTGCCTAAACCTTTTTGATAGCACTAAAAGCCACACGTTTTAATTCCACATTTCAAATTGCCAGGAAGTGCCTGCACGAGAACCAAGGCAACTGAGGGTAGCTGAGGAGGGGCAGCCCAGAAGAGGAGCAGTTTTTGATGTCTTCTGGGCAGAGGTCAGCACTGGGCCCAATCCAGCTGTTTGCCTGCTCTCAACTATGATGCACAGAGAAGTCTGAGATCTATTTTCACGTTCAAAAAAAACTACACTGAATTGCTACTGAACCTTTTCTTTTTAAGAGGATTTTTAGATGGGAGGTGAAAAGACTAATCTGGATCTTTTGGCTTTGAAACAAATCATCCCAGATTCTTGAGTCTCAACTGTTTAAGAACAAGGTAACTTCTTCATCCTAAAATATGTTACAGATATAAGTTTGGGATCACTGAGGTAGATTACTGAGAAAGATTACAAATTCTATTTAGATCTGATACTTAGAACCAATTCCTAGCCTCAAAACTGTTTAATTAATGTATCTTAGAAATATACTTTTTGCACTAGGCACCAATGGGTGGATGTCAGAATATCAACAAAAAACAAAATAAAGACATGTGCCAAGCCCTGTTTCAGGTATGAGAAAGAATATTACGAGCATTACCTAATGTACTCAAACTGTTTCTCAGGGAATAAAATGGAACCAATAAAAGTAATGGTGGGAACCCCCCCAAAAACTGTTTCCCCCTGGAAAAAAATACCTCTGGCAAAATGATTTGATGCTAAATATGTAGCATCAAAAGAGCATGTTGGGACTGGAATGATATTCCATGCTGTAATTAATAACAACAGGGCCAAATGATTCCCATAAAGGCACTATTTTTACCAGTGTGTTTAAAGCCAAGATTCCCTCAATGAACGGATTTGTTCCCATCTCTACTTCAGTCACATCTGCAGCTGGGAACTCCTGGAATTGCAGGCCCACGACAACTAGAAAGTATCAGGTTAGCAAAGGCTGTCTTATTTGCATGCAGAACATCCCCCTGGGTCATGGTATCAGGTGGGAAAGCTTTTAACAAATTGGTTCTTCCTTTCTTGTTCTTTTACAGGTCATCCCTGCTAATTCAAATATACGTGAGGCTCAGAGCAAGCCATATTTTCTGTGAACCTGGGTCATTATGATCTTGTTGGTAAAGTTGACCACAAGCTTTTAGGGCTGGGACAGTTATAGCAAAAGTAAACTCACTAAGAACTGCAGACAATGTTCAAGCAGAGAAACATGTTTCCTCTTCACACCTGGTGCTAAATATGTCACCAAGCACCATTCAACATTTCTAGAAACCTGAATACCTGTTGAAAAAAATAGAACGTACAGGATGCTAAGATTGCAGCATGTGGGTGCCAGAGATGGGAAATTATGTTCACCTCTCATGTTTCTGATTAGCTCTGGCACACAAGCATCATGACCGAGTGAGGATGATGGATGTTGTAGTCCCAGACAGCCATCTGAAGCAAACAATCCTTAGAAGCTCCTTCTGCAGAAACTGCCCAAGAGATCTGCCTTATCCCACTTTTGCACCACACTGAGGAGTTTGCACATCAACAATCCCTGAAATGAACCCCTCTAAACATTGTTAGATAAAACTGATTCTCCATCTATTTTCCTTGGCCTTAGTCACCTTGGGGAATGGCCTTTGCAGGGGCGGGGGGGGAGGGACACAACTTCTTTGTAGTCAGTGACTGGATATAGTAACAGGTTGCATAAGAAAAGTCCATGAACCTGGGATTCAGTGGGTGGTGAGTTTCCCAGATGGCAAACTGATTAGGGAGGCATCTGCCAGATTAGCAGTCTGAGGCTCTCACCTCCCAGCATCTCATTAGTATAACACAGTTAACAACTATGATCCTATCTAGAGAGGAAGAGCTGCAGTTATCCACATTCTGATAACCTCTCACTTGGACCATTACGGTGAGTTGCAGAAGATGTCTTTGAAGATAGTCTGGAAAATTCCCCAATCCAAAATACAAAGAGAGGACAGTGGTTTATAAGTTCATGGAGATATTCATTTTTAAGACTGCCTATCCTCCCATGCAGACGAAACATGTCTCCAGATCCCCATATTATCTTCTGAGGCCTTTGCCAGCTCTGCCCCCAAAAGGTCCAAGAGACAATATTTCCAGAATAGGCATCTTGATTGCAGCTCAAAGAAACTCGTGGGCACTCTGTTATGTTCTTTTCAGCATTAAACAGAAAGCTTATTTCCCATTTTTTCCCACATACAGTAATTAGTACTATTTAGATACACTGTACCAGTATTCCTCTTTGCTGCTGACTTTACATTTTATTTTCATAATTTATGGTCTTCACATTTTACATATAATTTGTACAGAGGACTGTTAGTACAGGATGATCTATAAAATGTACGTCAGTAAATAATGGAGTCTTCTTCCTTGCCAAGGACACTGGACAGAATCCATCTGGACCTTCTCCAGCCCAAGCCTTAAGACAAGGAATGCAAGTCCTCTTTCAGTGCCTCTAGCCATTTTAATGGGCCCAGCAAGGAGAGACTTCTAGCAGATTTTGGCCATCATGCTGCCTGTATAATCACATTATTACTAACTGTTACACTGGGTAGGAAACAGGGCACGATTTCCCACTACTATATAGCAATGTCATCTCCTGGAGCTTTCCAGCTTTTAACGTTGTTTTGGAGTTAAAGTACTTTTATCCCACTTCCAAAAGCAGACTTTTTCCCATAGCAGATGTCTTGAATGATGTCCTGCTGCTACATCACTGTCTGTCTTAATAAACCTGCAGAATATGAATAGCAGGTTGTGCCCCTAAACCAAGGATGTACAACTTGAGGCCCTGGGCTATACACAGCCCTTAAAAGCCCTCGATGCAGCCCACGCAGGCCATCCAAAGTTGCTACCAAACTAAATTTGAATGTCATAGAAAAGGAAAGGAGTAATCACCCTGACAGTACATAATTAATCTAAATTAATTTTAATTAAACTTAATTTAATTAAATTAAATCCAATTTAATGGTTGACCTGACCCTGCCTCTCTTTGGAGTATGCTTCCCATCATGCTATGGAAAGCCTAGCATTGCCCTCAACCCCCATGATGCTGAACTCTGTGGCTCTGAACCAGGGGGCTCAAACTTGTGGTCCCCAAGATATTTTCTGTGGCACACAACAATATGTTGCAGCTGCTAAGGATGCTGCCTGGCAAGACATTCCAAGAGACTGGTGTTGTCTAAGGATGGAGGAAAGAGGGCAGCTGAAGAGGACAGCTGAGTATGGCCACCCTGTTGTGAGGGTCTCTCTGCAAGGCAAGGAGTAGGGAAGGCAGTGAACAAGCAAGGAAGCCGATCTCTTTGCAAGACAAAAGAACAAAGAAGGGACTCTGCCAGGCAGGGATGGAGAACAGGAAGAAAACCGAATGAGAAAAAGACCAAAGGAATGATCTCTCTGCTTAGCAAAGAGGGAGGGGAGGGGAGGGGATTTGGGCAGCTCTTGGTGTGAGGGGTTTCCTGCATTGTATCATCTTAGATATGATCTTGGTGTTCAGCCACCAAAGAGGGCAATGTTTAATGGCATACTATCATACTTTTCATTTTTGACCCACTGGAGTCTTTTGCATTAATGTGCCAAAAGAATTCAGGGTTGCAGGCCTTGGGTAAGGAAACAGTCCTCAACCTTTGTGTCTCGGGGTATGCCCTAATAAGCCTTATCTGCTAGGCCTTTAGTTCATGTCTCTGGTATACCTTCCCTTCACACCATACATTGAGACAGCTGTGGCAAACCCAGCAGCTGTATTATCCCTAATATATCTAGCATGGCTTTAGTCCCAGGCCTGGAGTTAATGCATTGGGAGGAGGCTGTTGTACTTGGTTTTAATGGTTGTTTTTAGTTCGATCTGTCTTGTCTCGTTTTGTTTATATTTTTAATTGTTTTAATTATTAATTAGATTGTGTAAGCTGCCCAGGGTCCACTGGAGTGGGTGGCGATGGTATATCTAAATATTATTATTAATAATAATAGTAGCCAAATACTGTTCCTATTCCCTAACACATCACTAAAACAAGGATGATCATTTTTTTAAAAAAGTTCCAACTAGAACAACCATTTCTATATTCCTTTATTAGGACCACTCAATGTCACAACAAAGAAAGCACACTCCAGATGTTTTCCTTCCTGAATTTCACTCTGCTCCATTTTGAATTTGTTCTCTGCATTTCCTCTGTAAAATTAGAGTTATTCCCTTTTCAAAGCTCCTTTTGAATGAGCCTTTACAGACTGGAGGAAGGCAGAACACTTTCTGGGCAATGCGACATCACTGCACCCTGGTATATATCAAAAAGATCACTGCCACCATTATTATCTCTTTCCTCTGAACCCACTTTCCCACGTTTCTCATTTGGTATGGAGTGAAACTATATGATTCATGTCTAATTTCCATAAACCTGCCAAAAGGAGTTCAGCTACCAGAAAAAAAAGAGAAAAGCAAAGCAGGCCTAGAAGAAGCTTATGAATACGGTGAATGACAAAATGTGATTTCCATCTATTTGAAGTCTGTTGTATGGTCAAAAAGATTCCAAAACATCATAACTTCATGTTTCTCCAATCTTTCTTTCTAAACTGAATCACCGCACCAAGCTGAATGACCACATAAAGATAATTTTACTATTTAATTTCCCCCTTACCTCAGTCTCAGACATTTCCGCCACAATCTCATCTTCTTTAAAAACCCTAATATCAAAATCCTCAGATCCAACGAGAAGCTGTTGGGGGGGCGGGGGGGAGAGAGAACATCAAGCATTTAACAGACCACATTTTATTTCCATTCATTTGCTTTTCTAGCTGCCAAAACAGTCTTAGAACCCATGTCAAGAAATTGACCAACTGAAGACCATATTCAGCCATTTTTCTTCAGTGGGCCTTTTACTTTCACTAACAGGAGAAACGTTAACATGATCTGGCTTGTTGATCCCTAGATGTACAGGTCATGTATGGCCAGGAAAAATGGCAGTTGAAGCCAAAAACACTTGGAGAGCATCAGGACAGGAAGGCTGCCTAGCTCACAGCTTCAATATAGTACACTAAAATATATTTTAGGAAGTGCTGCAGATAAGGTCAGGAAATCATTACCTCATGATTAGATAGATTATTTAGCAGTCCAATTTATGATATAGGGAAACCAGGGAAAACTGTCTTGGCTGACCTGTCCTTCAAGGTCTACAATTATTGCTGAAGTATATCCCAGATCAAACTTCAGTGCTAACCACTAAGCTGCACATCATGAGAGTAAATATAACTTAGGGAAATGTTTCTCAACCTTGGCAACTTTTAAGACGTGTGGACTTCAACCCCCAGAATTCCCCAGTCAGCATGCTACCTGGGGAATTCTGGGAGTTGAAGTCCACACTTCTTAAAGTTGTCAAGGTTGAGAAACACTGACTTGGGGTATGCAAAACATGGTTTTGGATTAAAAGGATTAGCTCCCCTTGCCTAGGGGCACGTGAGAGCAGTTCTTTGCCCTTACTTGCACGCATGGCCCTTCCTGCAGGTCGTCCTGCATTCCTGCTTTGGGAGGAGGCCGTGCTGGGAAAGCCCTTAAGACATGTCATCCAAAGTAGCCTAACAAGGACACACATGAAAGGGGAACTAATTTGCTGTGGCTCCTCAGAGAAAGGAGGGACGGCACGCATGTGCTGAAGCCAAGGAAGCAATACGCTCGGACTGAGCTTAGGAGACCTTATGGGTTTCCATTCAGGGAGCTTCTTCTAATGACTATGGCATTTTGATATTTTCTTTAAGTGAAAATGTAAAAGATTAATACAGATATTCTCCAAATACCCATCTGCTCCAATATGGATGCATCTACTTTTCAAGCCCATCTTCAAGACCAAACAGTTCCCACCAGTAAGCCCTACAGTGTCTAAAACGGAGTACAATAAAAACTACGTGGGATCTAACTGAAGGTCTCTCTCTGTTCTACAATCTTGTCCCAAGAGCAGCCAATAAGGTGCGTACTGTAAGCCCTAAGCAGGACGTGAGCACAAAGTCACCTTTCTCCTCCTGTTTATTACCAATTAGCTATTCAGAGACATTACAAATCTGGAACACCTCTTTATAATTTCCAGCACATTCAGAAAATAGCTAGTAATTCCCACAGGTCGTTTGGAAGAAGAAAAAAAAAGACAAAATAAACTCAAACCAGATTCAGGTTCTACTACAAATGTACCTTGCCATGCTCTAAGTCTAGTGAGCTTACTCCTTAAGTCATCAAGATCACTGCTAATGGAAATATAACTGTGGGGGGGGGGGATATATAGGAAATAAAAGCTCATGCAGATACCACTTGCCAAAGACATACCTCTTTTTTCCCATCACCATCGAAGTCACAGAGGGCTAGAGAGCGAACATTGTCACCAGTGACCTATAATTATATTTTTAAAAAATCAATATTTCTTAGTTTAACCTCACAGGAATTGTTTGTAACAACAAGAAGAGAAATAACTTATCAGAAAAATTTTAAATGATGCTATGTATTTTGGCATACAGTATCAAGATAATTCTATGCCTTGGTCAACAACTAATTTGCAACTGAATCCATATTTCAAATTAAGCAAGGGCCTTAAAAATTCATAAATTAAGGGTGATTCTAGGTCAGTCTTTAAAATGAAAATCATTTTGGTTCATTCACAAAATTTTAAATCAGGCCCAGGAGATGATATCCTGCCCTTGAAACTCTCCTGAGTTTTCCCAATGCTGCTGCTTCTGCCTGCAAAAATCTATTAAGGAGGAAAAATGGAATAGCTGCCTTTTCTTTTGATTCTTGATGGTAGAAGCTTTCCATCTGGAAACACCCAGAAGCCAAACACTCCCTATCCAAGGGGATTCTCAAATGGAACTTCTGATTCCAAGATGCAGAAAAAGTCTTGGTTAATCACACTCAGATTCACAGCTACAGAGGTGGTCTTAAGGTTTTACTCTTCAGCAGGTCAGCAAAACTGTGCAAAGGCACAAGGAAGGCCAAGTGCCAAAATGCATCAAGTGAAACACCTGAGAGACTAGTGCTTAAATAAAGCTTCTCAAATATCTCTTATCTATTGAAAGCAGCTGAGCATAAAGGAAGAGGGAGGTGGCTATTCTGGGAGGGTTGGATTTGTGCCCCCTAAACTCTAATTGTTGAGCCCTCTTGTAAAATTCATAAGTAACCCATCAGGGGTACTGAATATGCATTCACACAGAAGCTTCCAATGCAGTTGTACTAAACTGGAAACAAAAGCATTCAGAACACAAATTCATCCGCAAAGGAAGTACATCTTCCCTGCTCTGGGACTAGAAGGCTCCGTCATGCTGCATTTGTGATCTGTGCAGAAAAATATTAATATATCCTTATCATAACATGAGTAATGTTATCTGTAATTAGAGCACAGAATCTGAAAACATATCCAATCTGTAGTCCCAAGTCTTGTTTATATACTTTAGTATGCCATAAGAATTCTATTGGATGTTACTTTCTCTTTCCCAAACATCACCAAGGAGTGCTACAAAGTTGGGTAGCCTTATAAATTTGAATGATAAACAAACACACAGTGAATACATCAAAAGAAGAGGTCTCATCCCTGATAAGAGAGAGCCTTTGCTGCTACAAGGTTTCTCTAACATCCCCTTTTCTCCTCCCTACCAATTAAAAGAGGATTTATCACCAACATCCTCTAGGGAGTTCCAACTGGAGGGGACTGCCAAATTCATACTTCCAGTGCAAACTCTGTTTGGATTCACATAACGTACTAAACCTCCATTAATGTTTGTGCTCTCCTAGCAAGCCAGGCCCAAACAAATAATCCACGTTAAGGCTTAATGCAATGTCCTGGTGCACGAATCTGCTAAAACAATGGCTGGATTTTCTGCTGGACCACACATTTCCAACTCCGTTTTAGCCTGGCCTAGTCCCTTCCTAAATTACGCACTTGGGTTGGGAAAAAATGTAGCTTTGATTGTGGGATTTAATGATTAGATGGTTTGTGTT